GCCTGCCGGCGGTCCCGGAATCTGCCCGCCCGCCCGCCCGCCCGAGTCACCTGAGGAGGCCTCTTCGCTCTTTGCTAAGACCCAGGTCTGCTCCGGTCATGCCTCTGCTTACGAATTCACCGTGGTGTTTTACCACAATTTTTAAAAAGGGGAAATAACAAAAATAAAACAGACCCCTTGTCCCCGGCCCGCCCCTGGTGTGTGTCCCATCCTTCTACCCAACTCTCATCCCCCCCACCCCTTAGAGGCCATCTAATAGGTCTAGTAATTTACCCTATTTTGAGCATTAACTTCTATGACTTTAAATAGGGGGCCTTGTGTGGCTGCTTGTTTTCAGTTTTAGTTCCCATCTGCCAGCCTCCCACTTGGAAGATGAGATTTTAATCTCTTTCCTCCCTCTGTTCTCCCCCCCCCCCCCCATTTCCCACTTCCTTTCCTCCCCACAGAACTCTAGTGTAGTCAGTATTCAGTGTTCACGTTGGGGCAGCTATGGAAGTGCTTCACAGTGGAGCCTTCCAGGACCCTGCCGTCACTTCCCTCTGTGTGGCAGAACGCATTCTTAGGTCATTTTTTTTTTCTTAGATTTTATTCATTTATTCACCAGAGGCAGAGAGGGAGGCAGGGACACAGGCAGAAGGAGAAGCAGGCTCCCTGTGGGGAGCCGGATATGGGACTTGATCCTGGGATCAACCACAGAGCCACCCAGGTGTGCCCCCCCCCTTAAAAAAATTTTTTTTTTTTTAAATTTATTTATGGTAGTCAGAGGCAGAGACACAGGCTGAGGGAGAAGCAGGCTCCATGCACCGGGAGCCCGACGTGGGATTCGATCCCGGGTCTCCAGGATCGCGCCCTGGGCCAAAGGCAGGCGCCAGACCACTGCGCCACCCAGGGATCCCTAAAGTCTTAGGTCATTTCTGACAGGAAGACATGGGAGGTAAATTGAAACATGTTTAAATCAATCTACCCTGTGTCCCCACTGTGCCTGGGATAAAGTTCAAATGCCTTCCCTCAGCACCCGTGCTCCTTCTTGTTCCAACCCCACCTGCCCTCTGGTCTACCATTCTTTGCTCACCTTCCTCCCTCTGCTGCTAATGCATCCCCCCACCCCACCCCCCACTTCTCTGGGGAAATCCCCTTTCTTGCCAGCCTGGCTTGTGTGATACTTTGGGTGGCCTTCCCAGTTGTGTGTCTTGCATGGTGCTTATACTGAGGTGTTAGTATTTATCACACAACATGATACTTCTCTCTTTACTGCTTGAGTTTAGATCTTGGCTGTGCCATTTCCCAGCTCTGTAGCCTCAGGCAAGCTACCCCCGTGCCTCAGTTTCCCTCTTGGTAAACTACAGATGGCAACAATAGCACCTACCTGATAAGGTTGTTAGCGATTGCACGGACTGATAGAACAGAAGCATTTATAATAGCGTCTGCTGCATAGTAAACTGCCATCTGTGCTCCATGTCCCTCTCCCTCACAAAGGCAGACTCGGGTGGGTTCTGGTCACTAGTGCCTGGCATAGCTCTTGGCAGATCAGAAGCCTCCAGGGGCTGGGCTGGGCACCTAAGTGAGTGATGCAGGCCGGGTGCAATTCAGGCAAGGGGGGGTCAGGGACTGGAAAGGGCAGTCTTTTTCTAAGGGGGATCTCCTGTTCGACCTCTAGGCGGGTCCCAGGTCGGAATGGGGGCCCAGTGTTGCCAGGTTATCAGATTTCTTTCCTTTATGGGAAACTTGAGATTCTACTTTTTTTTTTAATCTGGGTTTTCCTGACATTTAGTACACAGTGTACAGACCAAAGGCACTAAGCCTATTGGCCCATAGGCCACTGTTTTGGGGCCCAATTCTCACTTTACAAAAGGGGCCAGAGTGACAACACGATCTGCCTGGGGTCACATGCTGCTGATTGGGCCCTCAGTCTTCTCACTCCATTGGACGTGGGTAGCACTAGCGCTGTCTCCCCTTCACTCACCCCCCTGGGGACTTTGAGGATTAAGTTATGTGTGAGCGCATTTGCAAAGCATCTGCCCACACAGCTTAACAGGTTGCTCCTTGTATCACGTTGTCGTTGGCCATCCTGGCCTCAGAGAGCCCTCCTTGGTGTTTTTGAAATAGGCTCGTGGGTCTCTCTCTCTCCTCTTTTTTTTTTTTTTTAAGATTTTTACTTATTTATTCATAAGACAGACAGGGAGAGAGAGGCAGAGACACAGGCAGAGGGAGAAGCAGGCTCCATGTAGGGAGCCCGACGTGGGACTCGATCCTGCGATCCTGCGTCTCCAGGATCACACCCTGGGCTGAAGGCGGTGCTAAACCGCTGAGCCACCCATGGATCCCCTCATGGGTCTCTATGCCAGGTGGCTGTGGTGGGGGACTGTGTGCGTTTACCGAGCATCTGCTGTGTGTCCAGGAACTATTAGTCGTTTTACATTTGTATTCTCCTTTATTCCTTCTAACTGCCCTCCCTGTGAGATGGAAAGTAAACCATTTAATTGGTGATAAAAATGATTAATAAAGAAGTTAGCTGATTAGGGGCCTCAAAGTGGTTTGGAAGGGATTGAATCCATCTCTCTGATTAAAAAAAAAAATTCCGGGCTTCAGACAACATCCTATCGTCCTACATATTGGAAATTAAGTCTACTAGAAGCTCAGTGGGGCTTTGCTAGTCCCTGGGCCACCCTGTGCACCCATGCCACTTTCTCTGGAGGACACTTTCTCTGCTGTTGACTTTAGAAGCTGTAGCAGGTGACTGTGGGCCTGGCCAGATAGAAGAGAAGGCAGAGGAGAAGATGATATAGGACTGGGGAAAGGACCAAGGCCAGTGTCAGAAGTAGGATGGGGCACAAGAGCTGAGAAACTCCTATATGAGGCAAAGGCAGTATCTTCATATGCTGGGGTGCTGGTTTCATTTTCAAACCCATGTGGGAAGCCCTGGTGCCATACGATAGAGGGAAATGAACTAGCAGTGAACAGAGCCTCCTTTATCCCTGTGTGCCATCCCATTGGGCCAGGAGGCCCCTGCGCTTTGACATTTAGAGATTTCCGATAGTTGCGTGTGAGGCAAGCCCTCTGCAACCAGTGGAGCGCACACGTGTTTTACCAGCAGGGTGACTGCTGGGTCTCTTGGGGCAGTCCCACGGTTGATGTTCACATGCTGTTCCTTCTTTGAGGATCCATTTACCCTCTCAAATGCTGCCCCGCTTCCCTTCCCCCTGGGTGGCTGTGTCAGGCACATGCTGAAGGGAAAAGGAGTAGACAAAGGAGTGTGGGGTCTATGAAGTACTATCCCAATCCTTCAATAGGTCTTCCTAGACATTGGACTAAATGGCTTCTTTTAACTTTTATTTCCTCCTCGTGAAGTCCATGGATCTGGGTTTGACTTTCACAGAGTGGCGAAGCCTAGAACGGCCCACCTGTTCCTTCTCTCCAAACTCTTATCGGGGCCCAGGTTGCTTGAGCTGTCTCCAGCTTGGGTGGCCACCCTTATCTCTTGCCATTCTCCACATTCCAGACTTCTAGCTTTGCTTATGTTTTTTGGAAATCGCATGCCTCTCCCTCCTCCGCCCCTGCCTCTGCTGAATATGGCTCCCCTGCCTCCTTGGGTCTCCTATCTCCTTTCTCTCTCTCTCTTTTTAAAGATTTTGTTTGTTTATTCATGAGAGACAGAGAGGCAGAGACACAGGCAGGGGGAGAAGCAGGCTCCATAGAGGGAGCCCGATGTGGGACTCGATCCTGGAACTCCAGGATCATGACCTGAGTGGAAGGCAGATGCCCAAACGCTGAGCAGCCAGGGATCCCTCCCTCTCTCTCTCTCTCCTCCTAAGTGATGTGACATTCGTGTTCCTGGCTTCTGTGTAGATGTTATCCCTCTGGGTGTTTTCCATGAGTCTCCCTCTCACTACCCCCTCCCACCTTACCTGGGACTGGTGAGGTTCTCTGCTGCTGGGTTCCATGGCACCTGTACCATTCTCATCCTGGCATAGACTTTTCTGGAATGGGCTATGATGCCTGTCTTACCCACCAGACTGGAAGTTTCTTGGAGGCAGGCACCAAGCCGAGGCCCAGCACAGGGTCTGGCATGTGGGAAGTTTCCACTCAGTGTTTAATGTGGGTTACATCATGTAGTTGAGGACTCCACGGGTGTGGAGAATGGGGCCATATTATGAACTGAAGCTGCCAGGGCTGGCTGGACTGGACATCTTCCCCTGAAGACCTGGACAGAGATTTAAAATCAAACCTGAGGGGCACATGGGTGGTTCAGATTAAGCATCTACCTTCGGCTCAGATCATGATCCCAGGGACCTGGGATTGAGCCCTGCAGTGGGCTCCTTGCTCAGTGGGGACTCTGCTTCTCCCTTTCCTTCTACCACTCCCCCACTTGTGCTCTCTCGAGTACTCTTGTTCTCTCTCTCTCTCTCTCTCTGTCAAATACATAAATATTTTTTTTAAAAAGATTTTACTTATTCAGGAGAGACAGAGAGAGGGGCAGAGACACAGGCAGAGGGAGAAGCAGGCTCCATGCAGGGAGCCTGATGTGGGACTTGATCCTGGGTCTCCAGGATCATGCCCTGGGCCAAAGGCAGGCCCTCAACTCCTGAGCCACCCAGGGATGCCCCCATAAATAAATAAATCTTAAAAAAGAAGCCCTAAAAACTTGAGTTGTCCACCTTCATGAAGTAGTCACAAGCCACACTTATTTTTAAAATCCAAATATATTTAATTAAAATTAAATAAATTAGAAACACATTCCTTCAGTCTCCTTAGCCTATTTCAAATGCTCAATAGCCAGGTGTGGCTAGTGGCTACTGTGCTGGACAATGCAAGTGATAGAACATTTCCAGTATCACAGATTGTCTTAGACAATCTTCTCCGGACACTGTCTTGTAAAAGTATTAGTTTTGAGGCCCGTAGGTTGGGTGAAGACCCTCTTTGGTGCTTTTGATTAGGGAAAGGGGATTTTCACGGATTCCTTTGTAAGCCCGAACTGTTTCTTTGTTTTCTCCTGGCTGCAGGATGCTCGTCAGAAGTTCCGCTCTGTTCTGGTTGAAGCAACCGTCAAACTGGACGAACTGGTGAAGAAAATTGGCAAAGCCGTGGAGGACTCGAAGCCCTACTGGGAGGCGCGGAGGGTGGCGAGGCAGGTAAGGTACCTCTGCACACTGTCTCCCCTGACTCTGCCTGCTGCTCCAAAGCAGGTTTGGGGTACACCTACTGATGTCCGTGTCCCCTGCTGAAGGGTAGAAGTGTGAGTCCCCTGGGATGCAGAACGACCACAACTTTGTGAACAGCTGCATTTGAAGACTGCTTCTTCTTTTTTCCCTCCCCCCACAAGCTGCTCCATTCCAGCTCTTGATGCTATTAATAGAGTGTGGGTGCTGGCATTTGAATGACCCTGTGAGTGGGTGCCACCTGGTTGCCGAATTGGTGCCCAGATCCACGCCCTGGGCAGCTGGGCCATCTGGTGCGGCATGGGACCTAGTTCTGGTTTCACAGTGTGTTTTCCTTTGTCACCACGGATGTGCTGTGGTGTGCTGCCTGTGTCCCCTCCCAGCCTCTGTTGGCCAGGCCCCATGAATAGGGGAGGCAAAGAGCCTCCAACACTCACCGGGCCTGGGGCAGGGGCTGTCATATACCTCCGCCCACTCTGGCTTCCCAGTCTTGTGTCACTTCAGTATAAATCGCCACCCAAAGCAGGCCTAAGCGATTAGGTCAAACATTGAGGGGTGTAGGCTGTATCCCTGTTGGGTGTTTATGTGACGGAAAATGTGGTCTCCACTGGTAAGAAAGTGTGAGTGACCGGTATTTGAGCACCTACTGTGTGCGCAAGCAGGTTGTTGGGCGTGGTAGGGGAGATCACGGGAGGGTGAACCCTTGAGAGATGAAGCCCCAGAAATCGAGGAACATGTTCAGATCATACCCATTTAGGGTCAGGGACCAGGAGTTGGACGTTCTTCCCCTTTGCCCTGCCTCCAAGCAACCCTCAAATTTCTCATCAGGGGATCCCCTTGATGCTTTGGTGGTTCTGCCGAGATCTCAGCTTTGTTTTTGGGTTTCACACTCTGAACCCTGAGCTGAGCTTTCTGTTGAAACCTGCCAGATCCATTGCCTTATTCCTAGATAGAATGGCTGCCTCGTCCCTGCCTCCTCCCCTGGCCAGCTGACCTGGGTTGTACAACATCTAAGTGCCAATTACTTGTTGGTCTGCAACAAGCTCTGAGCAGCCACCCCCTCTTTCTACGTTTCTTGGGGCCCCGCCCAGGCCTCTAGCTTTCCAGGGAGAGGAAGCCTTCTCAAAAGGTGCTGGCCAGTCCCCAGAAGCTCCAGAACCCTGAGGCACTGCCTCCCCAAAGTGCCCATGTCCCACCCACCTTTCAGGTGTACCCCAAGTTGGGGATGTTTTGTTGCCACCCCCGGGCCCCATGTAGCCCAGAATAGCAGCATTCTTGGCCTAAAATTACAGTATGAAGGGTTTGGGTTAGGTTTGAGGAGAGATTTCCGATAATGTAATGTAAACATTGATGAATACTGAGAAAGTCATGAAATTTCTTTTTCTGAAAGTCTTCAGCACTTAAATTTATTGCCCTCTGACTCTCTTGAGCCCACAGATATTTGTTAAAATCATCCATGTGCCCATGCCACGGGATGATGAAGAGTAGCTTGTTAAATAGCCCATTGGAGTTGTGGTAGACGGCTTCCCCACCTGGTCCCTGAGCTTGGCTGCGCACAGAGTTGGCTAAAGGGACCTTTGTGTTCAGGGGCCAGTGGAGGTTGGCCCGTCAGGTTCCCAGTCCCAGCTGGTAGGAGGTGTCCACCTTTGCTGTGCTCCTGTCAAATGTTCTCCTACCTCAGAGTCTGAACTTCCTGGTCCCTCTGTTTGCTATTGTCTTGACCCCAGAATTTGTGAAGCTCAGATTTCTAATGTCACTATATCAACAAGGCCTTCCTGGGCTACCATTTATTTTATTTTATTATTTTATTTTTTGTATAGATTTAAAAAATTTATTCATGAGAGACACAGAGAGGCAGAGACCTAGGCAGAGGGAGAAGCAGGCTCCATGCAGGGAGCCTGATGCAGGACTTAATCCCAGCACCCTAGGAACACAACTTGAGCCAAAGGCAGATGCTCAACCACTGAGCCACCCAGGTACCCCCCATTTAAATAACTGCCACTTGCCATCTCCAGCACCCCCATCCCTCATTCCTTGGCTTGCTATTTCTCCGTAGCACTCTCTTCAGCTAATCATGATTGTTTACTTGTTTATAGTAGTGAAGCTCCAGGAGGAGTACCTGCACAAATGAGCGAACAATGAATTGACTGGCCACCAGCAGGCCCTTAGCATTCTGAGTGTCCCCTCCATTGCCCCTTGACTCTCAGGTTACTGGCTACATGGCCACATAAGCAGAGGGGTAGGAACACGGCTGGCAAATCCAGCTTTGTCTGGGCTTGGTTCATTTAAATCTCATATGCTGGGTAGGTCCCCAGGTGTCTGTGATACATCTGGGATAGATCTTCCACCACTGTCTTTTCTGTACCCAAATCCTCTGTGATGGGAAAAGAGGTAGGAGGGAGCTGGATTGGCAGGGTCCTGCTGCTGGGCATCTGTGAATCATGGCATTGCTTCCTCTCATTCCTTCTCTTGGCTGGTGAGGACAATGATTATGACAATTACGGAATTCTGTGGGTGAGCCACTGAGTCATCAGGTCCCGTGAGATTATCCCCAGACCCTTGGGGTGACTGACTCACTGTCAGCTAGCAGAGGCCGAGATGATTGTTAAGGGAACCCCTGGCTTCTTGCAGGTGGGGCAGGAAGAAGAAGGGGGGGAAGGCCCAGAGTGACCCCTGCCCCTCAGCCCCAAGGGACCTTGTTGGTCCATAGCCGAGGAACTGGAAGGACACTCAAAGGCTGAGGCTGGTCTCGGATGTCATATTTCATCTGCGCACATGGTGGGCTGTCTGGACTCGGGCCAGGTGGCTGAGGCTGTTGTGCACCAGCATCCTCTGACCTTCCTGATGGTGAAGGGGGTGGGGTGCTTTTCGGGCGGCTGCCAAGCGGGGCTTCCTGTTTTCTTCCTCTCTCTTATCCCTAGCCCCTTCCTTTCTATATTTATGGACCCCTCGGGCTGTGGACAGCAGGGATGGTCTCTGAGAGGTACCTTCAAAACATCTGCCTCAAGTGCGTATCTTGAGGCGTGGCGTTTGTAGAACCTCTGCATCCTCGTCTATGAGACAGGGATGGGAGCAGCCTTGACTCTTGTAAGGTTGTCTTTAGGTCTTAAGTGAGGTAACGTATGTTTGAGAGCAGGATCCCTGCACGAGCTTAGGTTTCAGCTCGCTTAAAAAAACTTTCTTGTAAAAAAAAAAATGAAAATAAACAAAGACAATAAGTCCCCATATCTTCTGTTAATATTTGAGGTATAGCTCTTTTTTTTTCTTTTTCTGTATAAGAGATCATCCTGTAGTGGTGGTTTTATACTGTCCAAATGCCCATGTCCGTCCATCCAGAGTCCCAATGAGGAAGAGACCTTGGTTTTCCAGAAAGAGTTTAATTTACAAAGGTTTGAAATTGTTGGGCCAGTAGAAATTCTATTTGCTCATCCAAAATTTGCATTAACTTTATTGTTCTTGATGTCACATCAGATCAGGAATGAGTCCGATCCAGTCTTGTGATCGTGAGAACCCACCCCAGATTTTGCCAAGAGGAGGTAGAACATAGCCCGCCCCCACCCCCCATGACTAGCTGGAGTTGGGGCAGGGAACTAGCTTTGATGGATTTGAGGGGTTTTGTCTTTGAGCTGGAGCTTGTTTGTAAGGCAGCCTTGACATAGCTGTCAGCCCTCAGTTGGGTGGTGGGTCCAGGACATTCTGACAGAGTGGAGCCATGTGACTCTGAGCCCGAATGGCTGAGTATTTCTTGCTTTGCTCCCGGGGCTCTAACTTGTCTAGCAGTGGTCCTAGGCCTGTCATTTTTAGCACTGCCACTCCGTACACTTGTTATTATTTTTAAAGATTCATTTATGGGATGCCTTGGTGGCTCAGTGGTTGAGCATCGGCCTTCGTTCGGCTCAGGGCATGCATGATCCTTGAGCCCCGAGATTGAGTCCCTCATTGGGCTCCCCACAGGGAAACCTGCTTCTCCCTCTGCCTATGTCTTTGCCTCTCTCTGTGTCTCTCATGAATAAATAAACTCTTTAAAAATATATATTCATTTATTTATTTGAGAGAGAGCAAGAGCATGGGTGGACAGAGAGTGAGATCACAGGAGAAGTAGACACTCCCACTGAGCATGGAGCCTGATGTGGGGCTGTATCCCAGGACCCTGAGATCAAAACCTGAACCGAAGGCAGACGCTTAACTGACTGAGACTGCCAAGCACCCACCCATATTTATTATTTTTTTAAAGAAGTGAGGTAAACTATATAGAATGAACGTTTTGCCATTTGAGCCATTTGGAAATGTGTAGTTGAGCAGCATTAAGTACATTCGTATTGTGGGACTACCCCTACCGCTATCCATCTCCAGAACTTTCTCATTTTCCCCAAACTGTAGCTCTTGACTCATTAGATGCCAGTGCCCCATTCCCCCTTCCCCCTTGCCCTTGGCAACCATGGTTCTACTTTCTGTCTCTATGAATAAATGCCCCATATAATCATGCAGTATTTGCCCTTCTGTGACTGGCTTATTTCACTTCGTCTGACATCTTCAGGGTGTGTCCATGTTGTAGCATGTGTTTAAAATTTCATCCGTTTTTGAGGCTGAGTAATATTCTTTTGTATGGATACACCACATTTTGTTCCATTCATCCATCAGTGAAAATTTGGGCAACTCTTACTGTTTTTTTCATGGCTGGCATGTGTCAGAAGACTTTGCACACCTGAAGAGCAACATAAATGCAAAATAAAGAAGGTTATTTGGTGCTGAAAGTTGCCTGTCTGTGTTTATGGGGCCATGTAAGTCCATGCCCTACACATAAGCTCCTTTGGGGAAGTCAGCAGGTGGGAAGATATTTGAAGCTTGTGGAGTGACTTGGCTGTCGGACTGCTGGCAAAGCCTGGCCTCTTGGGTTTGAATCCCAACTTACCATTTAATAGCTGTGGGACTTTAGTAGGTTACTTAATCTTTGCCTCAGTTTCTTCATCTGT